GTTAGGGTGTTGCTACCTCCCACAAAGCACATGTGAATTGAGAGCATCTTGTTCTAATTCTGGGGGCAGTCCCACTCATTTCAAATAAGACTTTGAAATACAAAATTACAAAAGGATGTTTCCTGAAGAATGGGCCCACCCAGGAGCTACAGGAGTGCAGCCACGCTTATGCAATGGGGACGATGTGACAGAGCCAAGCAAGGGGCCTGAAAGGCCGAATGAGGGCCTCTGATCGGGGAAGCCCTTCTGGGGAGACTTCATCAAGAGCACAACCATTGCTCCAGGAGGCCTGACATCCGAGGGATCTCACTGGTTCCAGCCAGCCCAGTGTCAAGCCATATGCACTGTGTGGCCATGCCATTTATTTCAATACTGAAACATTTTGGTAGATGCTGCTGCCTGGAACCCCGAGTGGTCCCAATCATTGTGTGAGACAACCTTCTGGGTCTGTTTTCATGGCTGCTGCTGCCCAGGTTGACTGGTGGTTAAATATTTACATGTCCCCCCACAGGGCTCATGCCTGTGGCCAGGCCAAGCCACCTTTAGAAGATGGTTTGTCAACATGGAGCCTGACTTGCAAATTAATCCTGGCTAATTGCCACTGAAACCTGCTATGATCACATCTGTTGGGCCCAGAGATTAAATCAATATTTAACAATCTTGATTAAATAGAACCAGGGAATCCTCGTCAAAGAACATCTGTTAATGCTCTGCTCTTTCCATTCTGCTCTAGGGGAGCCAGCCAGGAACATCTCTGGCTCTGCTTGTTTTCACCTGAGAACAGCTTTGGAGTGGGGTGGGGGTGTGTGAAGCCCACCAGGAACCCTGTGGAAAGGAAGGCTCCTTGTGGTGGGAGGGGAGTGAGGGAGCTGGACATACACAGCTGAACTGAGTTATCCTGGGTGTTGCCCAGTTGCCATCAGTAATCACCTTGTCTCCTGATCCAAGGCTGCCAAGAGCCAGGCCCCGTGCAGAGCACTTACCACACAAAATTGGGAAACCAAGGTTCTGAGAGGAGACATTACTTGCCCAAAGTCACAAAGAGAATGAGAGGAGGAGCTGAGCTCTGAACCTGGGTCTGGCTGACCCAAGTCTTGGGCCATTCCATCTAAGAAGAAAAACTGGTACAGTTGAAGTCAGGATCCCAGGCTGAAGATCTGCTCCACTGGGCAAGTTCCCTAAGCTACATATGACACTGGCCTCAAACCTGGCCCTACTCAACCCATGCAGCATCCCTAGGCAGGGGGTCCTACAGTTCTCCCCACAGAAGGGAGCACTGGGGCTCAGAGTGGCAAGTTACCTGTTCAAGACTACCCTGGGAGGGAAAAGGCAGAGGTGGGGTTTTTGAAGAGCCAGGTGGGTGACTCTAAGGTCATCATAACCACTTTCATCTCTAAAAACCAGGGACAGAGCTGTGAACACCGTGGGCGCTCAATAAATGCCTTTCCTCCACCTTTGAGCGATTTTAAGGCAGAAATCAGGCTCACACTCTGGAGTCAGATGCCTAAGATCAAGTTCGGACCCCAACACATACCAGAAAGATAGCAGTGCCACCTCCTCTGACTGCTGGAGGAGCATGAGATGATCCTCATAAGGCACCACAGTAAGTCCTCATACATCTTAATTTAAAAACAATAATGACGACAAAGCAGCTACACTCACAGTGCCCTAATGGGGAGAAGTGGAGAGCTGTGGTGAGATACCCAAATGCCTGCAGCAACTGTTCACTGCTTTATTCCCAGATCCAAAACAGCACTGTGATCAGGGTGAGTCCTCCATAAGTATTTTGAGTCCTTTAAAATGAAAAGAAAAACTAAAACTAACCAGGCAACCAGTCGGCCAACTAGCCAGATAATCAACTAGCCAGTCAAGCAGATAACCAACTAACCACCCACCCAGTTAACCAACCAACTAATAAGCAAGCCAAACAGCCAGTTAAACAGCCAAATAGTCTCATGTTTCTGTGTCCCTGTCCCTTTCTATCTATATCTCTACCCCATCTCTCTGCATCTCTGTGCCATGTTTA